TCCATCTCCCAGCTTAATGGAGATGATTGTTGACAGAGCGCCATCTTGAGGTGGTAGGTAATAGGGGTTTAGGTATGGATCTTCATACTGAGGAACGTTCACCAGAGTGGACTTGCCGGCGTTCTCAGTACCAGATCCAGATTTGGATGCGTCATCTCCAGATCCAGTATCCATCGTCTTTGGTTAGGGTAAGAAAAGTGAAAAGAGGGGAAGTGAGGTAGTGGTGACGATTTATGGTGACGATCTGGAAAGGAAAGGCAGAAGTATAGAGAAATGGAATGGGGACTGAAACCCTAGTATTGACAGCAACCAGGCTCTGATACCATGAGAAGAATCAGAGTTTGGGGGAAGATGCTCGTTAGAGCTTTCCATTGATGATGAAAATGTATATATACAGACTGCTAATTACACTTAACGGTAACCTAACTAACAAATAAATTGAACCTATAACAGCTATACACGTGTAAATGACACAGTAAAATCGGAAGCTAGGCTGTTAGCCTGAACGGTGCGTTTTGCCTCCATTCTCCTTCTTTGTAGACGACACCATTTGAGGCTCTGCCTTCTCCTTTGTTCTTCGTTCTTCATCAGCTGCAGATCCTCCATTCCTTCTCACAGCAAGGCTGCTGCAAGTCGAATCATCCATCCTCTCTGTTATGGACAGGGAAGAAGAGAACCCGACTTGAAAGCAATTGCCAAAATAAAAATATATCTCATATACCCAAAGTCTCACAAACAACCGAAGTGGAAAACTTCCAAACTTTGTGAACTGACAGGAACTCAGTGGTCGGTAAACTGGACACCATGCACTACTCTGGGGAAATGACCAAAGAAAAAGGAATAGATTCATCAATTGGTAACTCTATTTGGTGGCTTATGTTCAAATACAGCAGATATATAATATCAATATTAAACATAATCAGCCTAACTCTTGCAAAAGGCAAACTACTAAGCTCAAGCTTTGAATTGCATACAGAAACCAAAAAGAATGCTTCACATCCAAAAAGCAAAATTGACATTGAAGAATCAGAATGGAAAGGTTCTTAGACTCTGGGTTTACAGCAATTAAAAAGCAAAGTATGCAAAAGCACCCAAAGGATTAAAGTAAACAGGCTTAAAAACATCCCAAACACCACTTTTACCTCATGAGGAGATCAATGCAGAGCCAGAAACTTAATTGAGCAGGGAACAAAAAGAAGCGATTTTGGGATGAAAATACAGCATAGGTCACTCCAAAATTCTTCAATGGTTTGGACTTCCACGAATAAGTAGTAACATTCAGTTTTTCACTGCTAATGGATTATATAACTTCAGTTTTCCTGCACATGTATCATATATATAGTATCAGCATCGTTGCACTTGATTGGCGACATTGAATTTGGCACATACAAAATGGAAGAAACATAACAGACAGCAAAATTGAAACCAACTATTACATTCATTGGCTTCAAGAGATCCTTGATATGCACCTGCAGGCTGGGATCGAATCTCCACATTTTATTTCTGACCACCATGGGCCATATCAGCCATTCCTTTTAGATTTTGTTGTCTCTTCTTTTCTCCTGTTATCATGTGAAGCTGCAAATCTGGAGTGACCTCAATGTAAGGAGGGGGAAATGAAACACACGCAAGGAATATGCATAAAATCTCACCCAAAAACATAAAAAGAGTCCATTCGAAGAGCTTATATGCACGTGAATCCACAAAGGGTCTTCGTACAGGTTAAGAACGCAGCTGCAGGAAAGCAAGTATAATTGAGCCAACCAGAAGAGCATGGTTTCTCTAAAATATAGAACTGAAAAAGCGAATAACTAAGCCCCTTCAATCGGAATTTCATTGAATACCCATGATTTCTTGGTGGAATGATCAGAAACCCTTCTAAAGGACCTGTGAAACCTGGACTTCCCTGACTCAAAGCGTTGATTGCAGCTCACAATTCCCTAAAAACGTGGCTGCATTTTAGTTAAGCATGGATCAAGTGATTAAGAAGGAACACTGCCATTTAAAAAAAAATAGCAACATGAAGCAACATCCACCTGATCTGCTCACAACGTCACTGTAAGTTCCCCTAGTTGCATTCCCTCTCATCGTCGGCTCCAAAACACAGGATCACCCTTAAAAGAAATTTGGGATAGCTAACAGGGGAAGCACATAGATGGAATGGAGCCATAGGGGAGAGCGACCAACCTTTGCCGATGTCTCTAGTCATTGTCTCTGATGGAGATGACGATGATCGTGCGGACCCTCATTCAGTCCAACAGATCTGTAAGTATAAGGCGAAGAGAAGAAAATTACTATTTACATATCCTGAAAACAAAAAGCACAAAAAATTGAGGTCGAAACCTAACCAGAAGCACGAATTTCCCTCCGTCGTGTATCTAGTCTTCATTGGCTATGGTTCATCACCACCGTAGATCGACAACCTGAAACCACAAAGGCACAAATATCAAATGAACCAAAAGAAAAAAAAAATCAGCATGCGATTAGAGGCCGCTAAACAAACCATAAAATCAATAACTAAATAAAATCAGTAGTGATTTGCCAGAAACCAAAGCATAGTCTTACCGTTACAGTCCTGAGGTCCCACTTCCCACTCCCTGAAAACTCTTACCCTAAGCAGAGCAGGCAGATCACCCACATAATCAAAACGGCAAAAGAGAGAGACTCGAAAAGAAGATGCCTAGAGGGAAGACAAAAAAACGTAAGAGGGAAACTCAGAAAAGAAGTAGTACCTAGAGGAGAAGAGTAATCGTCTTTGCTATAAGGCTTTATGTTCTTCTCCTTCTTCCTTCTTCTTCCTCTGTGCTATCGAGTCTTCTTTCTCACCGTGCTCCTTCTGTTCCAAACTGATACCCTCTTCCTCCACTTTTGGGTTCCACGGCAAGGCCCTGCACCAGCACACCCTAAAAAAAAAAAAGGAACGACCAGTAAGAAAGAGGAAGGTACCGAGTGAGCGGGGAATAAAGCAGAGACAAAAACCCACCAGCTCATTCATCCACAACATCGCAAACTCGGCAAAGCCATCCAGGCGCTTTGGGTTGCCGGCAATCCATGTACGGAGAAGTCACAATTTTAGTGCCGGAGCTTTGTCTGTCCATGTCAGTTTGGAGAGGATGCTATAATACAATGGAGAGGACATTGGGGAGTGGGGGCCAAAGTTCGCTTCGAGGAGAGCTGTAAGAGAAGAAAGCGGAGACTGCGCGGATTCCGAGGCCGAAGGACGGACAGGGAGCATGGGCCTTGGCGTGTCGAAGGAACTGACGAGTTCCAGAAGCAACCCGTAGAGGGGGGCTGACGGAAAGGAGTGCCTGTCCCGGGAATTGGGGGAAAAGGACATTGGGAGCTGTTTGGAAGTTGATATGTACGAAAGGTCTAGTGTGGCGGAGACGAGGGAAAAGGGGCAGCGGCGGATCCAGAACACAGAGAAGCACTGGGCCGAATTTCATTAGAAAATTATTACAATCGTAAAAAAATAATGATTATAGTTTTTTTGCAATTTAAATTGTACCCGATAGTATTTTAATTAAGAGAATGCATTAATAATGGAGTCTACAGAGCAATCGGCGAGAAATTCATCGCTCATTTGTTGAGCAAATCAGTTGTCGCATGTTTCATTGTTGAAAAGGTTCTCCTCGTAGTAGCTGTTGAAACGAGCAGCATCAACACTAGACAAATCAATCGACTAATCAATTTGCATTGTGTGTCTATCCATGCATCCACCAACTGCTCTAGTAAATTTTTAAGGGAACAAACCTCATATTTCTCTTAGTATTTTTCATTTTAAACTTTTAGAATTTTACATTTCATGGTTTTTTTTAGACGCATAATCTTTGGGGGCTGAAATTTCTAGGCTAAATTTAAAGTAGTGATTTGAATATGTTCATCTGAATCATATTTCTAGTTATACCCAATCTTATTATAAAATAACACTGGAACGAATGCCTAAAATCGAAAAATTCATAACGACTATACTAACTACGGATCCAGAAGAGGGCTGGGCCGGGGCCTAGGGTGGCCACCCCCTGGATCCGCCACTGAAAAGGGGCAAAGCCGGGTAGCGTTCTCAGTAGCAAGATGAGGCAGCTGACAACCGGGAACAAAAAGAGCTTCAGAAAACGATAAAATAATATACAGTAACCTGCATTCTTGGCCAATAAAGTGTACCCACCTTTTATGTTTTAAAGAATTCTATTGCTCTATTTGCATCTCTCTCCCCTGCCTGCCGCACGACGCACCGCCCGATCTTTCCGCTCCTTGGATCCATACGCCGGTGACCAAAACTTGCAGTGTCTTCGTCCCCTTCATCGCTGGCGCACGCTCGAGCCACGAAACACGACCCAACAACCCAGTATGGTAACTCATCCTCTCCGTCGGTCTCTCTTTTCGTCGACCCCCGTCGTCGCCGTCGTCGCTTACTTGCTCGACACAGCAGCTCAGCAGTTCGTCCTCTTTGTCATTTGCAGGTAATAATATTTTGAACTGTTAATTGTTTCACCGTCTGTGTGTCTGAGTTAATTGTTATAGCCGAGCAAAGGAGAACAGCCATGTAACAAAGAAGAAAGAAAGCTTTCACGGTTTCACCAATCAGGCAATCACCACCAAGGTTCAAAGGCACCAACCACCAATTGACTATCACTCACTCTACACAAAGATAATGGAGCAGAATGGCCAAATGGGAAATCAAAGTAGCAAACTATCCTAGTTCCCTCCCCACCCTTCCTGTACACTGTCACAGACTTGCATCTCTTGTCGTGGAATTAAAGAGCGGACAAATGAAACAGTGTGGGCCGCTTCGTCCTCTCCACTTTGCGGTAAAACAGGTAACCAGCCTGTAACCGTTGCCGTCCCATCCGCTAATCGATTTACCGAATTAATTTCGATATCGACAAACTGCGACAGTATGATGATGTGCGCTATACTGTAATCGGTCAAGCGGTAACCATTTAACCGGTTACCGACCTTTTACCAGCACTAACCGCAGCTTAGCATTATGTAGAGAGTTTGACTAATTTCCTTGTACATAAGATAGGACAAGAAAGGAAAGACGCGGTTACATGACATCCAAGCAACAAAGTAACCGCAACACGGCAATGTGAATTTCAAACGGCTAGTTTGTAGTTTGGCTTTGTTTTGCCGCAAACACCAACAATCTATAAATTCCCCCGACCTGCAAAGCGCGCCTTTCTCTAACAAGGCTCAACGATCATCGCTCTCCAATCCTTTCCTCTTGCTCTCTTCTAACGTTTCTCTCATCGGCGAACCACACAGCACGGACAGCAGAGCTCTCTCTCCTCCTCTTCTCAGCTCTCGTCTCAGTTTCTTCTTGCTCCGCGCGATTTCTTTGTTTGCTTCTATTTGAGTTCCATTTCATCTGCGATAGCTTGCTGTTCTCTTTCCCTAAGCCCTATTTTGAAGATCACACACACTCGTTGATTTCTATCTTCACTAATCGTATTTTTGTTTTTGTTTACCGTAAGCTGCTAGGGTTCTTTCTTTCTTTCTTTCTTGTCTCGTTTTGTTTCTCTGTGTGGATGCAGGGTCGGCGGATATGATTTACAGCAACCCAAATCCCAGGTTCCCGCTGCAGAGGAGGAGTAGCTCCAAAGAGAACGTAAGCATTTCTTTCACCTACCCGAATCTGTTTTGTTTTTTCAGTCTCTCCTTTCTGGGTTTAGGGTTTAATCGAATTTGAATTTCCAGTTTCAGTCTCTTCATCGTGTTTAAGATATACCAAGATTAGTTCTTTCACTTGCCCGATTGCTGTTTTTATCTTCTAGGTTTAGGGTTCGAATTTCCAGTTTCCTTCACCGTGTTTAAGATATCAAGATTTGTTCTTTCACTTACCCCGATTGCTGTTTTTATCTTCTAGGTTTAGGGTTCGAATTTCCAGTTTCCTTCACCGTGTTTAAGATATCAAGATTTGTTCTTTCACTTACCCCGATTGCTGTTTTTATCTTCTAGGTTTAGTGTTTGAATTTCCAGTTTCTTCACCGTGTTCACGATATCAAGAAATGTTCTTTCACTTACCCCGATTGTTGTTTTTATCTTCTAGGTTTAGGGTTCGATAGAGTTTTGATGAAATCCCAGCTTCTGTTCTCTCTTTCCTTTGGGTTTAAGAAATAAAGGTTTTGTTCTTATTTTGGTGTCCTGGTGAACAGTTGGATAGATTCATACCACATCGATCGGCCATGGACATGGCTTATGCCCATTGGATGGTCACTGAAGGTAGGAAAGAAACGGAGCCACCACTTCCGAGGTCTCCTTCGAGCGAGGCTTACTGGAGGCTACTGTCTGAGACATTGAACCTAAACCGAACCAGGATCTTTGCATTCAAGAACAAGCCACCTGTCCCGGTCGACCTGATCCCTCGTCAACACACTTCCTCTTCAGCTTTTTCTTCGTCTCCACATCACCAGGCTAAACCCTCTAAGCCTCGCAGGCACATTCGGCAGGTAACCAACGCTTCCTTCTACAACCTAGCTTATAGTTAATGAGCGAAGCTGCCGACTTCTTAGTTCTTACACTATGTAATACTGGTTACCTAGTACATTTGGAATTGTCTAGTTCTGTTTTGGAAGTTGCAGCTGCTGACGGATAGATGCTTGCTTGCTTGCATTTGTGTAGACTCCAGAGAGGATATTGGATGCTCCTGACATTGTCGATGATTTCTACTTGAACTTACTGGACTGGGGCAGCAGCAATGTTGTAGCCATTTCTCTAGCAAGCACAGTTTATCTATGGGATGCTTCCTGTGGGTCACATTCAGAGCTTGTTACCATTGATGAGGAACATGGCCCTGTTACCAGCGTGAAATGGGCTCCTGATGGCCGCCATCTCGCTATTGGCTTGAACAACTCTGAAGTCCAATTGTGGGATGCAGCCTCCAATAAACAGGTTACTATGAAGTTATTCTTTGGATTTCTTTCTTTTTCCATGTTCTTTCCAAAAGAACTCCAGTTCTGATTTGGTCCAGTTGCTGTTATTACTTTCTTTCTATAGCTGCGAACTCTGAGAGGTGGACACAGATGTCGGGTTGGATCATTGGCATGGAACGACCACATCCTGACCACAGGTGGAATGGACAGCCTGATTATAAACAACGATGTCCGAATCCGTGACCACATAGTAGGGACCTACAGGGGGCATTCACAGGAAGTCTGTGGGCTGAAGTGGTCAGCTTCAGGACAGCGATTAGCAAGTGGGGGAAATGACGATCTCATCCACATATGGGACAGAAGAAGTTCCATGGCTGCAACTCATCAATGGCTTCACAGGATGGAGGAACACACTGCAGCAGTGAGGGCTCTGGCGTGGTGTCCATTTCAAGCCAACTTGCTTGCCTCAGGTGGAGGTGGTGGTGACATGAGCATCAAGTTCTGGAACACCATCACGGGGGCTCGATTGAACTCAGTTGACACGGGTTCCCAGGTTTGCGGCCTGTTGTGGAACAAGAACGAGAGGGAGCTTCTCAGCTCTCATGGGCTCACTGGCAACCAGCTGACTCTGTGGAAGTATCCATCCATGGTGAGGACTGCTGAACTAACTGGGCATACCTCCAGGGCGCTTTTTTTGGCTCCGAGTCCAGATGGTTGCACTGTGGCATCTGCTTCAGGGGATGAAACCCTCAGGTTCTGGAATGTGTTTGGCGATCCGGCCGAAGCTGCTCAACTAAAACCTGCCCCAAAGGTAAATTCTGAGCCCTTCTCTTGGGCAAATCGAATCAGGTAGGTAGTTCATGTGAAGAAGGATCTTTATATGAAGATGTGCATAGAAGAAGATAGATCATCACTAATCCCGTTGATGTAGCAATGGCACCTTATGCAAGGAACCACATTAAAGTTTCTGTGAAAGTTCTTGGTTTCATGCTTGATTTCCAGCAAAACAGATGTAGTATTGATTGCCGTTCCCCCTGGGGACGTTTTCACTCGAGAAGTTGTCTGCAAGTTGCAACTGAAGGACATTGAATTTGAGAAAACACCAGAGGCCAACATCACAAGAATGGTATATCCCACTTGATGCTCCACTTTCCAGGAAGATTGTCCCTGCCATTTCATTGCTGCATACTTTCACTTCCCAATCCATTGAATAGCAAGCCGACTCTGATTCTTCTGCTTGGTATGGTCTCAAGGCTGGAGCTTGAAGTACCAAGTTCCAATCTTTGACAACTGGATCACCAGAGGGTCTTTGCTGATCTCCACAGAGAAATCGCTGAGGACTTCAATCCTAACTTCAGCTTTTGTGCAGCTTGATCAACATTCAAAGAGTAGAACTTTGCTTCCATGGAGTTATGGAGGAAGCTGCAGCAGCAGAAAGATGATCCACTCTCAAGTAGGAGCTTTCTCCTAGGTAACCTGTAGCCTGTTTGTAGCCGTGTGTTGTAACCTTGGCACTGAATCTGAATCCTACGCCTTTCTTTGTCTAATGTTTGAAAGTTTGTAGTTTTTCCTTCTGTTATAGGGCAGTACTCACATCATCTACGCTCGCAGATATGGAAGCCAACGATTATAAGGATGGCAGCTCAACTGCAACAGATAATCAGTACCGAATTAACAATCTTACCGCATGGGACAGAGCTGTTTCTTTGACATCAGAAGAATGGCTGCCAAGGCTGCAGCTGCTAATAGGTAGATGGAAGCAGGAAAACAAGAGGAGAGGAGTCGTGATAAGCCTCATTGTTCGTGTTATGTTACCTTTCGTGTTTGAGACCACCGAGAAACGGAATCAAATGCAATGAATAGTAGTTTTCATTGGTTAATAAAACTATAAAAGTACTTAGCATTGGTAAGTGAATTTACATTAGTTGTTGTATTATTATACATACTAGTAATTATTAGTATTATAATAGCGCAAGTTACCTATTAATTAATTTTACGGTTCCTTACGACATTTTAGCATCTTTAATTGTAGTAAGTAATCTCTAAGGTTTCTGTTCACACGGTGTGCTCCGCTGTGATTGCACCCACCGTACCAATCTTGAGTGCGTTCAAGGCTTCATATGTTTCTCTTCTGACCGTGTTCCTCATTTAATTTGTGTGTTCAATTTAATCTATGTGGTGTCTTTGGGGGAATATGGGCTTTTGGTTTGCCATATCATGTTCCAGCCCTTTCTCCAATTCATCACATAATTTTAATTTATCTTAAGTAAATACTCTTACCTAATAGATCATTTTAATATACTTTACCTGAAATATTCATCATATACTCCATTTGTTTTACGTAAAGGTTCCATAAGGTCAATTAACTTTCACATAATAGTTTAATGAAATGTGTTACTTTACATAATTTCATTTTATTATTAGACCAAACATTTATCAAGGATTTACGTAACACCACAACAGTTACGTAAATAACATGTACATTATGTAAATTAAAAATACATGACGTGAAACTTATGGAGGGATAGTTGTTTTATGTATCAATAACAAACGTACATATTATGCAAGTCTTCTGTAATATTAAGACACTACATAAAGCTTATTGAGAGATAGATATTTCTTATGTATCAATTAAGAAATTTTTTATCTAATCTTTCGTGAATAAGTTTGAGTCAAAATTCCGTTATTATTAACTAAACTATTGATCATCTCATCAATTTGCAATAGACAAAGTTATGTAAGGTAAGTTATTTTGTACATAACCGTTTAATCATTTGTAACTTAACTCATTACATTACAATACAACAGTTCCGTAATATAAGTTAAATTTTACATAACATTTTAGTCAATTGTGATACTTTTCGTAACTTTATTTGATTATTAAACCACACATTACCTAAGATTTAGGTAACATCGTTCTATATTAGTTACGTGACAAATATATTACGCAAATCTTATGAAGGGGTAGATGTTTTTTCTGTAATTAAGTTTTTTTGTAATTAGTAAGAGACTATACAAAAGCTTATGGGGTATCTTATCTGAACTATTTTTTGAATTAATTTATTTTCACTAAATTACTAATTAATGAGTAAATAAAATTTAAATATAACTAATTTATTACCGCCACGGAGTGCGGGCCACAAAGTTAGTGTGAATAACAGATGTACTTCCCATTTGGAATCATTGCTAATTATGCTCATCTGCTGCTGAAGATTGGTCAAGTCATTCAAGAAAACATAGGAATCCGTGTCTAGCCAGGAAAACAAAATAGTTCAGATAAGATACCCCCATAAGCTTTTGTATAGTCTCTTACTAATTACAAAAATTCCCTGATTCATATTATCTACTTATGTTGGAACATCTGGAAGGCAAGAAATGAGAGCACGTTCAAGAATCGAACACCGTGGCCCCCAAATGTGTGTCTGCAAACCTATAGAGAACTTACGGAATGGATTGCTTGTCCGAGGCCCCCACCTCAAGGCTCTGATGGTCCCACTCAGCTCAGGGGATCCCATCCTACTACGAATCCACCGCCAAGTAGTCACTCGATTGTGATTCAATGTGATGGGTCGTTCTTTAGCGACCCCCAGTCGGCGGCATATGGTGTTGTTGTTGTTAACCACCATGGACAAGTGTGTGATGGGAGAGCTGATAATCTTCTTTGTTTCACCCCGATTGAAGCAGAAGCTAAGGCGCTTTTGGAAGGAATTAAATTAGCACAAGAATATGGATCGGTGTGTACAGTGCAGTCTGACTGTCAAACACTGGTAAAGGCCCTGAATCATAATCAGTCTCGATGGCCCTGGAGATGCGCAGCCTGGATTAGAACAATGGTCAATATCCTTAGGAATAACCCAGCTATTTCGGTGAAAGAGGTCCCGAGGACAATGAATGTCAGAGCTGATTGGGTTGCACGATCAAAAGCCAAATCTATCCTGCCAGAAGACTGGATTAATATTCTTGATCTAATTTCTGTTCTCCTCTAAAAAATGTAATAGCTTGTGTGTGAATTTGATTATGGTGGAATAAAAGTTGATATGATTTGTCAAAAAAAAAAAAGAAAAAAAGGAAAACAAATACAATAAACAAATACCAATGCAACCAACAGAAGCCGAACTGACATCAAAGATTTATGAGTTCAAGCCATGTCTTCTGGTTTTCAGTCTCAACAACTAAGACTCTCATCAGAAGAAACTCTTCAGATAGTCTTTCTCTCGCTATATTAACAATGGATCTTTAAAGCGAATTGAAGAAGAAAGATATATTTAATGCATTTCATGCTACAAGAATCACGAGCCAAAACTGAAAACGCAAAAACACAGAAGGAATTACGAGCCAAAACTGAAAAAGCAAAAACACAGAAGGAAGAAAAGCACTACCCTCTGATAACTAAACGATTTCAATTTTACACAAGAAACTCATAAATTCTTCTTTGAACAGAAAGAAAGGACGAAAGCAAAAATGCCTCAAGCCTTGAGGAGGGACTCAACTGCCTCGAAGAAGAGTGGAGACATTTCAGGGTTGGGAGTCTTGATTGCACACTTCACTCCCGGCATACCTATGGCTGTGGTCAGCTCGACCAAGAAAGGGATTCCACGAGGAATTTTGGTCGCAAAGTAGAAGACGTCTTGGTTTGCATGCTTTCTCTTGGCAATGAAGAACATGTTCGATGCAGCTAGACGCTCCATCATGGCATCGGCACTGTTCAACACAATGCCTGGGAAGTCCTTCGAGACTTCATTGGTGTCAGGGATGGACCTCCATGTCTGCAGAAATCCAACCAGAAAAAAATTAAGTCCCAATCTTGATCCTGGTTAGATTATAATAACATGACCTTTTGTGGTGATGCTCCAAACATTCGGCTCAAGCAGGGGCCTCTTATCTTGGCTAAAACATTACTAAGTTTGGCTTATAAGCTACAAAACAGAGACACAAAATCTGTGTTTCGTGTTTATATACCTCCAGAAAGGATCCGCGTTCCATCCTGCCATCCTCGCTGAAGAAAGCATGGAACAAGATTTTGTCGTTGAAGTACCATACTTGCTGCTGATTATTCTTCACGGCAACTTGTAAGAGAGAGGTTGGAGGACCCGTGGACATATTTTGGAACATAACCATGGGGAGGAGAGTGGTCGCTGATGTCCCAGGTTGCAATTGTGGGACCTAGAAGATCAGTAGGAAGTCATATAAGTGGCTGCTACGAGGAGATTTAGATTGCACCTTTTACTGATGAGAATGGTGAACCGAAGTACCTGCAATGGTCCACCAGCAGCAAGACCAAGTGAATTCTTGTTGAATTGGATCATGAAACCATCAAGTGGCATCTGCGTGTTGTTCTCAAACAACATGCTGTAGAAGATTTGACCATCTCTTCGTATAAGTTGTGCACTGATTTGTAAACCCTGTGCAGCTGATGCTGGTAGTACCACGGGCAAGGGGGGTCTGCAAAAGAGACACCAAGTATGGTTAAGTGTCAACACTACACCCATTACAAAAGCAGTTTCAAAGCAAGGTTATCTGGTGTTCGTTTTGGCCAAAAAATTGGTAAATTAAAAAGGTTGGCTTGAAATCTAAACAAACGCATATTCTTCAATCTAACTGTTTAAAACAGCTCTTCACCCTGATTCTCATGAATTATCTCTCTCAAAGCCACTTCATCACTGAAATTTTTTCATCTTTGAAAAAAGTATTCTATTAATAAATTTAATCTTACAATAGTAATTTCCCAAACCTAAGTTTTTTTTATCATTAAACAAACTATCTGCCATCCCATCATTCACTTTTTTTTATAACTAAGAAATGACTCATATCCATCAATTCAACTTCTCTTTTTTATAACCCACCCAGACATTTTTTTTCTCACTTTTGGTACAAGTTTTAAGAAAACATCTTTTGCTAAGCAAAAACCAAAACCGATAAAGCCATCATCTTATGAACAGAGAAGTTAGAAGGTAGAATAGTGTTTTTTTGAAAGATCTGTAAAATACTCATTTTTTACTTACCCAGAAGGAGTAGAAGGCTGGTCAACAGGGACTATAGCACTGTTGTCCAGGCCCATAAGATCACCCATCAAATCCGGGACAGGTGTGGCCTGTGGAGGGATAGCTGCTGCAGTTGTCATTTGCCTGGTTGGAACATTTCCTGCAGGTGACGCAGAACCATCAGCAATCTGGGAAGATGATGTTTCAGAATACCCGGTTTCAGCACCATCCGGATATTCATCATCATCAGTCTTCTGTGTTGCTGTCCTCACGCGAGACACAAATGCTTCTGGTGGCTTGTGATACACAGAGGATAATGTGGCAATGTTTGCAAGAAGCTCATCAAGTAAAGAAGGATCCAGTTGGTTTGAATCATCACTGATAACAGGCTTTTCTGCTAAGACAACATCCTTAGCCGCCTGAAACATTGAAATTATACAAATTAGATGCATAGTTTTGAGGTACTCAAATATTTTGCGACAGCCTGGGGAACCAGGCATAGACGCCCAGTTGCGACCTAACCATTTATCTGCTGAAAAGATAATGGTACTAGGTTACTAGTCAAGCACATGCAGAACAGCAATCTAGCAATCGATACTCCCATATACAGAGTGGAGAGGGATGGTCATCAACACCCCCCAAAACAGTTATCCATTGGCAAGAACAACACACCTCGGGATCAGTTGATAGCAATCGCCAGTATATGTATGCACGGTCCCTTAGATCAGGATTGTCCGTCTCTACCGTGGCATTATTCAAAACAACCTGCAAATAAGAGCAACAAACAGCATGAGCCTCAAGTACCACTATCCACTTTCTCGATTAACAGTTTAATGTAGATACCATACCAAAGTCTAGCTTTCTGATTCCACAATCAAAAGAAGTTAGGAAAGCTCCGAAAGGGATGCACAAAGCTAAATGGTAAGCTATACAACTCTCAGAAGGCAAAGATACATGGAATAATTGGCAAGGTGTCATCTGGGTAAGCAGAAACACGGCCCAC